GGGGGGGGGGGTTGGTACCCATGAATGTAAGTGCAGAATTGCTGAGGGGGGTTATAGAGGACCAGAACTTTCCAGAAGTACGGTTTGAGAACTTTCAAAGGAGCGCGTGAACCCCCTGGGTTGCCATTTTCGGATCAGAGGTTTCAATTTTGTTGTGGTAAACAGCAGATCTGGAAAACCGCCCCTTGGTGTACAGCAGGGAGATAGTCAGAGGTAATGCGGTATTTTATTTAACCGGAATTATTCTGTTGCTTTTTTTTTCAGCTCCTCATTTACAACGTTCGCTTCAAAATGGGGCAAAGATAATCGATTCAAAGGTGTTGAAAAAATGCGCGAAAAAGAAGAAATCTTCAACGAATATGTACAGGAACTGGACAAGAAAGAGAAGGAAGAACGTAAGGAGAAAAAGGAAAAGGTTATTTTCGTTTTCCTTCTGTGCTTCTAAGCGTGCTGCTCGGATGTTTTTCCAGTAAGAGGTGGTAGAGTATTCAACTGAAGTTTGACTATTTTATTAAATTACATCGCTGTTGCCGAATTAACAAATCGCTTCAAGAGTAACAGCTGAGTATGAAGAACAGAGAATTTATGCATAATTCTGTACTTTTTTTTTTCTTTTGAAAAAATTCGATCGTATTTTGCCTGAATGAAGTAAAATTTTTTTGATTTCTTATAGCTACGAAGAGATTTCATTGCGATGCTCATGGAAAAGAATATAACTCGTCGAACGAAATGGTCTTCGCTGAAGAAACAACTGGAGGACGATGAACGCTACAAAGCAGTCGATCGTTCTTCCAGTCGTGAAAACCTCTTCCGTGAATATCAGGACACGTTGCCCGAGGAATCCAATTCGGTAACGGCTTTGCTTCATCGATCAACACTTATGGTTTGTTTGTGTGCAGATTTAATGAAAAATTCTGTGTTATGGAACCGTTGATCGGGCAAATTGTCCACTTTTGTTGTTCCTGCAAATGGCATTTCTTTTTTTTTCAGGATCTCGACGAAGAGAACCGACAAAAACGAGTGGCTGCTGAAGCTGCAATTGAAGAACGTAAAAAAGAGGTAGAAGCTGAGCTGGGCGAACAGTTGAAAGAAAGAAGTAAAGAGCACGAAAAGCACAAATATCAGGAACATGAGGATTCCTTCAAAGCTCTTTTGGTTGACTTGGTAAGAGTTTGTTTTTTTTGTTATCAATATCATACAGCAGTCAGTGATTGACAAATTTCATGCCGAACATTACTGGATAGGTAGATAGGTGCCAACATAGAATGGCCATCTTAAGCAGTAAGAGAATTTATTCACTTTGGAAAGTATGCTTTTTTGGCTGTTTGAGCCCCGGTTCTGCTGGCTGAGTCTGTCTCGATTCTGAATCAAGTGTGGGGGCGAGGGAAGGGGGTGTGGAAGGAGAAACCAGGGGGGAGAAGGGGAGGGTGCAGAAAGGGAGACCTAGATTTAATAAATCTCAGGGGTCTTGATTCAATAAATCTCCCGACAGATCTGCATCTTCAAGCTCAGTCACTTCATCAGGAATCGCTGAACGTTTTTGTGTCAGTGAAGGTTATCGAAGCAGTCGTTTTTTTCCGTTGGATATCACCACCTAGTTGTGGTTTCAGCT